ATTATTATTATTATTATTATTATTATTATTATTAGGTATTCGTTGTTGTCATTTATTCGCTGTAACTCTTTGTAATCACAATGTCATAATTTCTAATGACTCAAAACAACAACTATTAACTAACATTGTTGTAATAATCATAGTAATAATAATAATAATAGTAAGAAGAAGAAGAAGAAGAAGAAAAAGAAGAAGAAGTAACAAGTAACAAGTACCAGGGAGAGCTACAGCAACAGAGACCCTAAAGATCAGCATGCTGGGATCTGCAGCAATCCTCAGGAAGGTCCTCAGCATATGACCAGAGTTAATGTCCTGCTGCATGGTTTGCACTCGGCTAAGGCACAAAAAGAACACAAGCAAAGACTGTGACAGAAGAGATAATAATAATAATAATAATAATAATAATAATAATAATAATAATAATAATAATAATCGGGTCTAGGTTTAAGGTTAGAGCCAGGTTTAGGGTTAGACCTTTAGCTGTGACGGGAAGTTTAGAATCAGGATTTTTAAAATTTATTTATTCATTTCTTTATTTTTTTGAGTGTGTAAAGCGTCATATTGCGTCAGCCTGAAGTGAACTACATCCAGCTCTGTCCTGTTCTGGGTTGTTGTTTTGTTGTTGTTGTTTTAAGGTCTCTAATTGGTTTGTTGTAATGACTCAGTGTTGATCATGCACTGTATATTTATATTTCCGCTCTCCTGTCCTTTCGCCCTTACTGCAGGGCCAAGGACACGGAAACTGAAAAAGTCGAAAAGTGGCAAAGAGGACAAGCGGCCGCGCACGGCCTTCACGGCCGAGCAGCTGCAGAGATTGAAGACGGAGTTCCAGGTGAACCGGTACATAACGGAGCAGCGGCGGCAGTCTCTGGCTCAGGAGCTCAACCTCAACGAGTCCCAGATTAAAATCTGGTTTCAGAACAAGCGGGCCAAGATCAAAAAAGCGAGCGGCTTCAAGAACGGCCTGGCGCTGCAGCTGATGGCGCAGGGACTGTACAACCATTCCACCACCACTATCCAGGAGGACAAGGAGGATAGCGACTGACGGGTCCGCGCCGCCGCGGCCGTCCTCCGCACGCACTCTGTACATTGTAAATAAGTCATATCTAATTTAAGGAGGAGGACGGGAGGGTGGTGTCAGCAGCGCTCCGAATCCTCCTCACAAGTGACTCTAGAGCACAAGAGACGAACACAACGCATACTTCTGGACTGACCTACCACCGCAAAACCAAAGATTTTATTGGAAAACAGAGCCTGACACTTTCACTTACAAGAAAGAAAAAAAACAACCCCTCGCCCCAGCAAGAGGCTTCATTCAAACTGTCGCTGAATTGCTTTTTCTGGACCAAGCGGCGTCTAAGAGTTGTGTTCATCCTAAATTATATTCGACCGAGATGCCATACATCGATGAAGTGCCAAAAAGTAACGATGTAATGATGATGAGTACGAGACACTTTAAATGACACTGAATCCCTTCAGGAATATGGAAATATTCAGGAAAATCTAACACTAATGTCATATTCTGCCTCTACAGTGTCGCTCCTCGTCACGTGGAGGAGCTTTCAAATGACACCATGCAGGAAACATGAACCAATAATTACCAGATAAAAATAAACTGCATACTCACCGATAGTCCTCATGACCAGGAACGCCAGATCAAATAAATGAAGATCGAATAAAATTAAATAAACACACAAAGAAACATAAGAAAAAGCAAAATAAAACAACTTTAAATCCCTCACATTAATAAGAAATAATAAATTATGTGCAGTGTTTCCATCAGAGTGTCTGAGCTGGTACTTGAGGGAATAACATTCCAAAATGTTCACGGTGGTGCTTCTGTAACATCCCAGAATGACTGTAAGTGTTGAACCTTTGTTAGAGGAGATAGAAGCCTGAGGAGCATCCAGAGGACGGGCTCTGTACAGTTCTACCATGTTTCCAAATAAACACTTTTATATTGGAAAAGAACATCTTCACACACTGACCAAGTTTTTTTTTTTGTCTTTTTCTGGTGGATGTCACCAAATATTCAATTAATAAATGGAGGCGTGTGCGTGTGTGTGCGTACGCGCGCGCGTGTGTTGGTCGCAGTTCACTGGTTCAAGTGAGTGGGACAACTGAATCCATATTCATAGGTCTTTAGAAAGGAGGTAAATTTACACTGCGAGACGCGGCGCTATCAGCGCTGTTCAAAGCGTTACAGAGCATGAAATTGGCTCTCCGTCTCTCAGTGTTCACCCATTTCATCAGCCAGCCCTCTGCACAGCCTCAAACTAAATGCAGTGTGTTGGAAGCGAGAGCAGAGTGAGTATGTCGGTCGGTCGGCGGCCTTCAGTCGGAGGCCTTTAACGGAACCAGCGCACGGAATAAAACGCAAACGTTGCTGTAAGTGAAGCCGGCGAAAAGTAAGCCTGCATTTAAAAATAGTCTGTATGTCTAAAGTTAACAAATGTTATACTAAAAATACAACTCGGCTTTTTCAGTGCTTTGGTCATTTTTGCCTTCCTTATATTTCTTACAGTCCACATAGTTTCTGGAAAATATCACTTCTTAGAAAGATTCGATTGTATTTTTAAATACATTTTTAAAACATCATTTCAAACAGGAGATGTTCAAGAATCCCGTAAATATTGGTTAGTGTTTTTTATTTTATTTTATTTTAAAAACACAACCAAATGAAACTGCAGATATTCGTTAAAAATGCGGTTCATTGTGAGTGTGTGTTTTTCCAAATTCTCGAAAATGAAACTAACAAGCTTCAGGCCAACGTTCCCTCGCTGTTTTCTTTTCGAAGTATTAAAGCATTGCTCTTTACTACATGCCTTTAGTTATTGAAGCAGGGAGATAAGAGCAGGTGTGACTTTCAGCAGCTGATGAGGTACAGATAGAAAGATAGATAGATAGATAGATAGATAGATAGATAGATAGATAGATAGATAGATAGATAGATAGATAGATAGAACGGGCGTTTGCGATAGTAACCATGTGGCTGCTGCTGACAGGGTTCACTGTGTAATTATTTTGGACCAAATGACTTATCGAGTGGACCCGTTCCTGATGAAACCCTGCTATTTTCTGCAGCCTGGAGGTCATCTGTCATCCAGAGCTTCATACTTCCCTTATAGCTGGAGTTAGTCTCTTCTATAATCGCTCTGGAGCCTGTCCAAACAAAGTATTCCCCACCTCTAAAATAAAAAAAAAAAAAAACGAAAGGAAAGGAAAGGAAAGGAAGAAAAAAAAATAGAGGGAAACAGCAGGCTGAGATCAATTTGTCAAATTCAAAGGTAAATGTTGTGACAGCTTGACTGGATCTTTGTCTCTACCTGTTTTCTTCCACTCTGGAGCTACTGCTGGCTTCAGATACGTAGGAAAGAGCAGGAGAGCTTTAAGACCCTCTGTAATTATGCAAAGAAACAGAGAACTATATATGGTTTGTTTACATCCTTCAGTCCTTTTTTCATTCCTTTCACACGATATTGCATAACCAAAGCATGATGTGTGCGTCTGCGTGAAATCGCAGTGTGTGATGCAAATTTCAAAACAATTAGACAAATTAATATTTCCCTACCAATTATACAGAATGGTGTGTGTGTGTGTGTGTGTGTGTGTGTGTGTGTGTCAGTGGATTGTGTGTTGGTACAAGCGAATGTGAGGGTCTGCAGAGTGTAGCCCTGCGGCTACAAAGCAGCTTTCATTTACATGCAAATGAAGCAGAGTCCCTGCTGCTGTCCTCCCTGCTGATGAACACTGTACTGATGTACACTCACAATAATGATAATAATATTAATAATAAAGTCCAGATCTGACTTTGCTCTGCCTGCACAGGTCGGTGACTTTTAGCTTGACAGAGCTAGGAAAGCTGAGCCCAGATCAGAAACGGAGAATGTAGTCATTTGTTCTGCTGCTACCAAAAGATATTATTCAAGTACAACTGTACATTTTTCTCCCACTGAATTACATTAAAACAAGCACAAATGTTCAACCTGGAACTGACTAAAGAAAAGCCTGCATTCTGATTTAAAATGGTAATTGTTAATCTGAAGTGCCACAAAAAGGACTCAAAAAGTTGTACATACATACATACATACATACATACATACATACATACATACATATATACATACATATATACATACATACATATGTTGTTGACATCACTGTGATAGTCTGATCACCACTAGTGTTAAAAGAATGGGCTTATATTTTCAAATCATACAATATATGTTTACACAAGAAATAATGCTCAAAAATGTTTAAATTCTAATTTAAAAATCTTAGTAAAACAACTTTTCTTTATTACATTTTTGATTTAGTAATTTGAAATAAGGATATTTCTCTCTTCAAAAAGGATAACATTTGTGTAAAAATGACGTTATTCATGTTTTTCCTGAAGTTACATGGAGAAGTTAGAGACAGATGTAATTTTAGCACAAATGCAGTATCAGAGGATCTTGTTCACTTCAGAATATCAAGAAAAGCGACGTGCTACTCTGTATGTGTTAAAAATGTCTTTATGGCGAGATTAAAAAAAAAACAAAAAACTGACAGGGTTGAGATTCTGTTGGGGACATTTTAGGAGTCTAAAAATAAACGATGACATTGATAAAAAGCAGTCCAGGCTGTTGTGTGGAGGAGGCAGCCTGCACACCGGCGACATGGTGAGAAACTAGAGGGACACTGAGATGTACAGGCCTCCCATATTGTGTGTGTGTGTGTGTGTGTATTCATTCAGTCCCTATCACACACAGGATGCTGACCACCACTGAGCTGATGGAGGTTCTTCTATGGAGCAGGACAGGAGCTGTGCTGTATTACATTCTCTCATGAGATCAAAGTACATTTACTCAAGTACAATTTTTATTTTTATTTTTTTGCCTTTTTGCCTTTATTGGATAGTGCAGTAAGAGAGAGAGACAGGAAAGTGGGGGAGATGAATGGGGGGAGGACACGTGAGAAAGGGCCATGAGCGGGATTCAAACTCATGACCTCCACATCAGGACTGTAGTCCTGCACATGGGACGCCAGCTCAACCAGGTGAGCTATAGCAGCGCCCCCCCAAGTACAATTCTAAGGGTATTTTATATTTCTACTCCACAATATTTCAGAGGGGAATACTGTACTTTTTACTTCACAACATGTATTTGACAAGAACAAGCCAAAATGATCTTAAAATTAGCTCAAGGTTAGCTTCAGCTCGACAGTATTAAAATGCTGCTTATGCTACAAGCCAATCTATAAGAATATTCTAATAACATACCAAATAATAGATAACTTGAATGTGAAGTACCTTTTTGTTGAGACAGGACTTGCAATGCAGCACTTTTTGTGTGTGACAGTGCTGTCCTCCTGTGCATCCTGTGCATGTATGCATTCCTGCTTAGTGCTGCTTTCTGCTGCTTTTGTTGCAGAGCAGCATCAGTGTGCTTCCAGAGAGCTGATGACAGACTGAATCAGATTGAACTGTGGCTGTCAGCTTAAGTGCAAGAGTAAAAGATTCTTCTAAAGGCTTCAATTCAGAATCCCTATTACAGAAAAACTAAATAAAAAAACTGAAATTACAAGAAAAGCAGCCTCACGCTACAAACGTTGTTAACAGTATCAGTCTCTGGAAGCTGCTTTTGTTGAACCTTGTGCAAAACCTCACTAATGTTGAAGGTGCCAGAGTTGCCGCTCGTCAGCCTCCCAGACAAACCCTGCAGCCAGGATCAGCTCATGCTGACAAGATGTCTTTGGACCTGCTGCTCCTCAAGCAGAGGGCTGAACTACGACTTGAGATGAGTGGGTTAGCAGGTATGTTGATCCTAAAGTCAGAGTTTTCAGTGTCATGAAGGTGCCTCTCTTTTTACCTGCTAGATCTCCATGGTAACTGATGCTGTGGAGCTAGGTCTCCATGGTAACTGATGCTGTGGAGCTAGATCTCCATGGTAACTGATGCTGTGGAGCTAACTGTGTCAGGAGCAGGTTTTCTTCAGAGCTTCGGATTTAAATCAGCTGAAAGAGCGTCTCCCTTTGACCAGATTGTTTCCTGACTATTATTTATGAGCGATACAGATTCTGCGTTTTATCTTCTAACGCGCTGATCTGTGCGTTATTATTATCATTGAATGAAGCCGTGTAGTTACAGTATCACACACTGTACCATGTGTTGCCATGGGAACCCGATGTGTATTTAGTTGGTGATGCAGAAATCACACAAATATGTTTTATTTATGTATTATTTTATTATGTATTATATTATTTATTTTATTTAATCCTTAATTTTGAATCCATTTCCACTGCTGCTACTACAGCTGATAGAAAACAGAAAACTGATTGTTCTGCTGGTATTTATTACAGAGAATATTCAGTATTCAATAACAACAATTTCATGTTAATTTGGCCAAAAATTAAAGTGATTTTTTGCATTATGGGACAGTATCAGACCTAAATGCACTTCAATACAAGATCATGTTTAAATATATGAAGTTTAAGGTTTAACTTTAAGGTGCAGCTGTCAGTTGGAAATCAGCGCCTGCATCAGTAAAATGTTCTATATTAACATGATTAACAGTTTTCTACCAGTATTCCATTGTTGCATCTTTTACAGTGGTGGCGTTTTTTACCATCATATATTTTTGTATTCCTCATTGTTCTCCATTAAAACATCGTGTTGACTGAAGCAGCTGCACGTTGATTCATTTTGTGCAGAAGAAGAGTCACATGACGCATTAAATGCCTCCTTTTATGTGAACAGAGTCTGAAGCAGGAAATCTGAGTGGACAAAGAAAGTTGAACCACCTCGTGATACCTGTGATCTCTGGCTGGAGCTTTACTTTGTGTGGCACTGCAGCAGCCCTCTGCTCTAGGATCCTCAGCCCTCACCGAGGACATGCTGTTTGGATTCAAGCTAGCACGTTGGAGAGGCCACTCCGAACAATCAAGATTCACAGAGAGCTGTTCCAGTTGTTCCTGTGCTGCTACACCCCAACAGAAACAT